TCATTTGTCAATTTGCTTAATACACAATTGGAGTCAGGGAATATCACATACCTGGGAATTAATATCTCTCCCAAGTTAGCAGATCTAACCAAACTAAATTACATCCCACTTTTAAGGAAAGTGGAAGATGATCTTGCAAGATGGAAATGCTTACCAATATCACTCATGGGGAGAGTTGCTACAATTAAAATGATGGTCTTACCTAGAATAAATTACTTATTCTCAATGATCCCAAACAAACCTCCAGCTGACTGGTTTAAATCTCTGGACTCCTCAATTACTAAATTCCTTTGGCAGGATAAACCCCCACGAATTAGCTTAAAAACGCTTCAGAAGACCAAAGACAGAGGAGGACTGGATTTACCCAACTTTTATTATTATTTCTTAGCCAACAGGCTGCAATATATACCAAGATGGTTGCAAGATAACCCATTAGACGAGTCCTGGTTAGATATAGAACAGACACTTTGCAATACGATAGAGCTTTCAGACTTACCATTTATTAGCTCAAGCATAAGAAGACATGAAAGCTTCAAAAGTATTAGTATCAGCACCTCTCTGACAGCATGGTGGGAGTATCTTAAAATGACAGAGTCTTCACTAGTACCATGCAGACGCACACCTATCTGGAACAATCCTGACATTTTGCAAAACAACAAAATGATGAACCTTCCGGACTGGAAAAATAAAGGAATCCTATACCTGGAACACATATATGAAAGATTGGACTTCATCCCATTTAATCAAATAGTCTCCCAATTTGGAATAGATGAGAATAGCTTTTTAGAATATCACCAAATTAAATCTGTAGTCAAACAAAAATTTAAGCTCAATAAAATAGAATTACAAACACCACCAAGGGTATTAGACTTTTATAATCTCAAACCCCCCAAACTACTGTCTAAAGTATATAAGACACTGTCCAAAATAGACGATAAAATTGCAATCCCTATTGGAAAATGGGAGGTGGATCTATCAGTTAGCTTTGACCAGGACTTCTGGTCCCAAACTTGTTTAAAAACTTTTAAAATGATCAGACAGCCCAATTTACAATTAATTCAGTACAAAATTCTACACAGAGTACACTATACAGGTCATCGGATGTTCAGGATGGGGTTTGTGTCGTCTGACACCTGTACACACTGCACAAACAACATTCCTGACAATTACATTCATGCACTGTGGACCTGCCCACCTGTCCAGGAATTTTGGGGTAGAGTATGTGAGGATCTGTCAAAATGTCTGAAATGTCATATCCCAACTTCCCCCTCTCTTTGTGTACTGGGGAAGCTGGACGATGTCCCGATTGCAACATCTTTGGTTCACGTGGTTCTGACTGCCATATGCATCGCTAAGAAAACTATCCTCTTGAATTGGAAAAATAGAGAAAGTCTCTGCATTAACCAGTATAGAAATCTTTTGTTAGATCATATTGCACTTGATATAGCCTCTGCTTCCACTTCAGATGAATCTCTCTGGGCTCCTTTGATCGGTTCCATCACATAGCGAGGGTGGGGGGCCGTTGATGTTGTCCTGCGGGATGGTGTGGGTGGGGGGGTGTGGGGTCTGAGTTTGGAGTATCCGGATGTTCCCTGGAGGTGGGTTCACTGGGGGTGTCTGGGACTGGGGGCCGTTGCCCCCCTCTGGAGGTGCTTGGGTCGCCTCGGGGGGTGGACTGCTGGCGGTTGTGAGTGGGGCCCCTTGGGGATCTTGGCGGCGGCCATGGGTCACTGCCTGGCGGCTGCAATGCCCCTGGGTGGGTCTGGGTGGGGGCCTGGGGGCTCGGGGTTTGGGGGTGGCCGGCCCCGTGTGGGGATCTGGGCGGGGCCTTGGGGGTCGGGTCCTGACATGTATGCTGCCGGGAAGAAGGCAGGGACATCCAGCAGTGCCTGGCCCGGGTTCGGGGGCCTCAGGTAGACCTTGGCTCCTCTGCCGTTCCATCACAGGGGAGGGGGAGGTCCAGGAGGGGGAGGACCCAACCTTACCTGGATGTCCAATGTCGTATATATTCTGGAAGTTGTGCAAATGCAGGGGTGGGCATAGATATTCTGCTGGGGTGGGGCTGGGTTGGTGCCCTCGGACTCTGTGAGGCTCTGTAATGCTGCTGCTTTGGACCCTGGCAGGATGGGCTGGGGTCTCCATGCCCTGGGTGGCAGTTTGACAACGGAGGTGCCTATTGGGGCCAGTAGGGGAGCTGGCTCCCTGGAGGGCTAAGCCCAACCAGCCATTCCTCCCCATCCCCGCATATTTCTCTCCTCCTGCTCCCTCACATCAACACACAAACATACACATAGGACCTTGGGGGGTAGGCAAGTCAGGGAGTGCGGGTATGGACCCCATTTCCGCATTCCTGAGGAAACCTGCCCCCCAATTTTATTTGCACCTTATACACTTCCACTGACGACATTCCACACAAACAGACACTTAGGGCCTTGGGAGTGAGCACATTCAACGGCATTTGGCAGGGGGATATTTCAGCCTCCTCCCGAGTGCCGGTGCCCACTTCCAATTTTAAACCGCACTTAGACACTGATGGCTGAGGGTGTAAGTGGGGTGGTGCAGTGGCATCAGCTGGCATATGCTGGACGATGCCTGCACTGCCCACTCGCCACAGCCATGGAATACACCTCATGATCACACAACACTATATTGGAGCAGGCGGAGGGAGACTAGGGGTCTTAGCCACCTCTGTTGTTGCTAGGCTTCCTGGGGCTGGAGGCTAGGAGGGAGATCTGGCCGTCTGGTTGGGGTCTGGGGTGGTGGGTTGCTGTGCTCAGCGTTGGGCGGGGGAGCCTGCTCATCAGCACCCCAGCAGAAAGGGTCAAACTCTGGTTACCGGTGATGGTTGTACCCAATGTGCAGCAGTACCGGGACCAGAGTGAATAGGGTGTGTATGGGGAGCATGAGTGGGTGTCCGGCGTGCATTTTTGTAAGTCTTGGGTTGTATGTGCATGTGTGAGCATGAGGGAGGGAGCGTGTGACTGTGTTTGTGTATGACTGTATATGTCAGGTGGGGCCTTTGGGTCCTCCCCTCTCCTGGAACTTCTCTTGATGATATAGATCTCTGTCCCCCCTCCCCCTGCTACATCTGGTGTGGGGGCTTGTGCCTTGGTCTGCCTGAGTGTTCGTGGCAACCGGGTCTGGGGGTTTAAGATTTTGGCATGTGCCTGTTAGATCCCGGTGGCTGCCTGGTGGGGTCTGGGTCCCTGGGGCTCTGCTGGGTCCCCGGCGGGGGTGGTCGCCCCTGGGTCCCGGGTCGCTGGGTCCCGGGCTCGGCCGGCTAGGGGGTGGGAGGCTGCGGGCGGGCCTGTGGGCTTGCCGCTGATATCTCCGGGGACTCTGCCGGCTGCTGGTTGTGGCCCCCCGGGGCGATCCTCTGTGCCTCTCGAGGGGGGCGGGGGCCTTCCTGGTTGCAGTCTCCTTGGGGTTCCTGCGTTCTGGGCAACGCCTGGATCTCTGGGACTTGGAGCTCCCCCCGTCTCCTGCGCATCTTTGGGGGGCGGATCTGTGGTCCCTCACACTCTCTGTTGGACGCTCCTATAGAGAAACCTTACATAAACAAGCGCGTGTACACACACAGGTGCTCACATGGTGCTCTCAAAAGTATGGGCTTGGGCACGTTAAACACAGGTCTTAAGACTATGGTGGGCACTTAATGCGTTGTGATTTATTATTGTGATTCTTCAGTTAAGCAATGTTGATTATATATATATAATTCTTATTTTCATCAAGTTGACGCAGTGATAGGTAGATCTTGTTGTATTGTTGTTGTGTCCCTTTTTTGTGTCCCTTTGTTGTTGTTTTTTTATCTCTTTTTCTGCAGGTCTAGAAGCAGACTCTTGTTCATTTTTGTTTATTTTTGTGGAACCCCCCCCCCCCCCCCCTCTCCCCACCTTTTCTTTTCCTTTCTCTTTCACCTCTGTCTCCGTGTCTGGTCGGAATTACAAAGCATTCAACAACAATAACAATAAAGTTTTAAGTATCAGGCGTGACATTAAAAGCAAACGCTTTGATGCTCCACCTGAGAATAAATCTGTAAGGCTTGTCACCAGCATTCAGACATCAATTCTGCTTGCTTCACAGCCAGACAGGACACGGTAAAAAAAAAAAAAAAAAAAAAAAAAAGGAACATGAAGGAGGCTGCTGCGCCTGGAAAGGGTGTGGCCGCGGCAAAGACTGGTGGACCTGCTAAAGTGCCTGCTGTGGATGCCCTGGCGTGGGTTGAGGCGCCTGCTGTGCCTGCCATGGCTGAAGAACCCAGAATGATTCGTGGGTCATCCTCTGAGGATCTGCATATCACTCTCCGCATCAAGGAGGCTGAGATCCGACAAAAGGAGCTGGACGTTTGAAGCAGGGAGCTGGAGGTGCAGGCGATGCATCTCCGACTCAAAGCCTTGGAGATGGAAGAAAAGAAAGGTCTGCCAGCAACCAACGCCACGTTCCCCAGCCGTGATGCCGCTTCTGCTTCTTCTGGGTTTGACATCAGTAAACACATAGCTTTAGTTCCTCCCTTTCGTGAAACTGAGGTGGATTCCTACTTCAGTGCCTTTGAACGTATAGCTGCTGCTTTACGTTGGCCTAACGAGTTCTGGTCCCTGTTACTTCAGTGTAAACTTGTGGGTAAAGCGCAGGAGGTTTGTTCCAGCTTGTCTATTGAACAAAGTTTGGATTATGAAATTCTGAAAAAGACTGTTTTACAAGCATATGAGCTAGTCCCTGAAGCGTATCGACAGAAATTTAGAAAACTCAGCAAAACCACTCACCAGACATATGTCGAGTTTGCGCGTGATAAGGGTGTTCTGTTTGACAAGTGGTGTCAATCATGTAAAGTTAAAACTATGGAGGAAATGAGAACATTAGTTTTATTGCAAGAGTTTAAGAAATGCTTGCCTGAACGTGTTGTAGTCTGTTTAAATGAACAGAAAGTATCCACATTAACCAATGCTGCTCTTTTGGCTGACGAATTCGTACTGACTTACAAAACTGTGTTTTCTTTGCAGAATTCGTTTCGGGACAATTTTCAGGAACGGAAAATAAAATCACCCAAACCACTGAATAGAAACAGGCCTGTTGCTGCCTCATCTGACAGACGGGAATGTTTTTATTGGCGCGAGCCGGGCCACCTGATTGCGGTGTGTCCCGTTCTTAAACAGAAGGAAGAAAGACGAGAAAAGTCACCTGACGGTGTCGGGTTGATTAAGCCCGTTCCTCAGCCTAGTGAGTATTCCACCCAGCAACAAAGTGAGTCTGTGATTGATCCCAAATTTGGGCCGTTTGTTTCAAAAGGATATGTTTCGTTAACGGGTGATAGACAAGATTTGGTGGCAATCACCATACTGAGAGATACAGGTGCGTGCCACTCCTTTTTGTTGGATTCAGTGTTGCCCTTGTCTGAACATTCATCCTGTGGCTCCGACATCCTGGTGTGGGGGATTAAAATGAGTGTAATCAGGGCTCCTTTGCATATGGTGCACCTGTCGTCGCAGCTGGTGTCGGGACATGTTAAAGTCGCTGTGCGTCCACGGCTACCATTCGAAGGGATTTCTTTCATACTGGGGAATGATTTGTCAAGTGGGAAGGTTTTTCCTCCACCAGAAGTCGTCGATGCGCCGTTTTCATCTGCGTTTGCTGAACCGGATTCCCCCTTTTCTGAGGTTTTTTCTGCATGTGCAGTTACTCGTGCTCAGGCACGTAAAATGGATGATGTGATAAATTTGTCTGATTCTTTTATGGCTTCTTCTGCTGATGAGTCCGTGACCTCTTCTGTTGATGTTAACGTGAGTGATACAATTTGGGCGCAAAAAGATAAAAACTATGAAGTCTCAGACATGATTCCTGCTGAAATGAGCCTGAGTTTGAATATAAATAGAGAAACATTGGTCCAGTCACAACAAAATGATCCTTCGTTGACAAACAGTTTTTCTTCTGTTACAGAAAAGAAAGTGCCTGACAGCCAAGTGTCTTATTTTGTTAGAGATGGAGTACTACTAAGATCATAGTCCCCAGATACAAGTGATTTGCAACAAATAGAACAGGTGGTTGTACCGGTGGAATATAGACCACAAATCCTGGATTTAGCACATAATGCTATTCCGGCTGGACACCTTGGAGTGAAAAAAACCTACTATCGGGTGTTGCGTAATTTCTTTTGGCCCGGTCTTAAGTCAGATGTGGTAAAACACTGCCGGTCATGTCACAGCTGCCAAACGGTGGGAAAACCAAATAAACCTATCCCTCCAGCACCTCTGCATCCTATTCCAGTACTCTGTGAACCATTCGAAAGGATAATATTAGACTGTGTGGGCCCATTGCCAAAATCCAAGTCGGGTCATCAATATGTTTTGACTGTGATGTGTGCTGCTATGCGTTTTCCTGAGGCATTTCCTCTACGGACCTTGAAGGCTAAACCGGTAATAAAAGCCCCAACAACCTTCTTTTCGACCTATGACTTACCAAAGGTTGTGCAAACTGACCAAGGGTCTAACTTTATGTCAAAGGTGTTTGCTCAAGTTTTAAAGGTATTACAGATCCAACATCAGACATCCAGTCCCTACCATCCTGAATCCCAAGGCGCATTGGAACGTTTTCATCAAACTTCAAAAAGTATGTTACGTAAATATTGTCTTGACTCAGGAAAATGTTGGGATGAAGGTCTTCCTTTGTTGTTGTTTGCTATCCGTGAAACCATTCAAGAGTCCCTAGGTTTCAGTCCGGCTGACTTTGTTTTTGGTCATACCGTGCGAGGCCCCCTCCGGTTGTTAAAGGAAAAATGGCTAGAGTCTCCTCCCACTGAGACAAACGTGCTAGATTATGTGTGTAAGTTCCGTGAACGTCTTTTTTCTGCATGTCAGGCGGCCCAAGACAATCTAGCAAATTCGCAGTCTAAAATGAAAGCACGTTATGATAAAAAAGCGGTGCTTCGTAGTTTTGCCCCAGGTGACAAAGTGTTAGTATTGCTCCCCTTAAGTGGATCTTGTCTGCAGGCGCGATTTTCTGGTCCATATGTGGTGGACAGAAAACTAAATGACACTGGTTATGTGATAAAGACCCCTGATCGTAGAAAGAAAGTGTGCGTTTGTCACGTTAATATGCTAAAACGCTATGTAACCCAAGACGATAGTACTGCTGTGAGTCTTACCACTCCGGTATCTGTGTGTGCTTCTGCTTCTTACCTTCTTTCAGAAGATGGTCTAACGGACAAGAATGGATGTGTTCCGATGGCTTGGTTGGGTAACTCTGCGGTTTTGAAGGATTTAGACTCCTTCTTGGCTCACTTATCGCAACCTCAACGTGCTGATATCGTTGCTCTAATCGAAGCAAACCTGTTGATCTTTTCTGATCATCCTAGCCGGACCTCTGTTTTGGCACATGACATCATCTTGCAAAATGAAAAGCCAATAAAACAACACGCTTATAGAGTTAACCCTGTAAAACATAGATTGATGCAACAAGAGGTGGACTATCGAGGTGGACTATCTGATTGAACATGGACTTGCAGAGTCCAGCACCAGTGCATGGAGCTCACCTTGTGTGTTTGTTCCTAAACCGGATGGCACCTTCCGATTTTGCACAGACTATCGAAAGGTAAACGCAGTCACGAAACCTGACTGTTTTCCACTTCCTCGAATGGAAGACTGTATCGACCATGTAGGTCCTGCAACGTTTGTTACAAAGCTAGACTTGTTGAAAGGGTATTGGCATGTCCCTATGACACCCCGTGCTTCTGAAATCACCTCATTTGTAACTCCTGACCATTTCCTTCAGTGCACAGTTATGCCTTTTGGATTACGGAATGCACCAGCTACGTTTCAGCGCCTGATACAAAAAGTGTTGACCGGAATAGAACACTGTGAAGCATGTTTAGATGATGTAGTGATTTATTCTACTACGTGGTTGGAACATCTAAAAACTCTGTCTGAAGTATTTCTCCGCTTCCGAGATGCTTCCCTCACCATAAATCTTGCCAAATGTGATTTTGGTAAAGCTACAATCACCTACCTGGGTAAACATGTTGGACAAGGTCATGTTCGTCCTATAGCTGCAAAGATCCAGGCGATCATTGATTTTCCAGCCCCACAGACCAGGCGAGAGCTGGGTAGATTCCTGGGTATGTGTGGATTTTATCGTGGATTTTGTAAAAACTTTTCTGAAGTAGTCAGCCCATTAACAGATCTACTTAGTCCCTCAAGATCATTTGTCTAGTCCTCTAGCTGTCAAACAGCGTTTGAATCTGCTAAAACTTTGCTGTGTAGCGCACCAGTGTTGGCTGCGCCTAACTTTGAGCATCCTTTTAAGCTAGAGGTGGATGCCAGTAAGTGTGGAGTCGGTGCTGTTCTTCTGCAGACGGATAGTTACGGAGTGGACCATCCAATCTGCTATTATTCAAAAAAGTTTAACAAGCACCAAGCACATTATAGCACTATTGAAAAAGAAGCTCTTGCTTTATTGTTGTCGTTACAACATTTCGAAGTGTACGTCGGCTCTAGTGTGGATCCAGTATGGGTGTACATAGATCACAACCCATTGGTGTTTCTGAAACAGATGCAAAACTCTAACCAGCATCTGATGCGATGGTCCTTGTTGCTACAGGATTTCAACCTGCAGATCCTATACAAGAGGGGTAAGGACAACGTAATAGCTGACGCATTGTCAAGAGCTGTGTAAGCATTTTATTTTATGAAACAATCTATGTTTGTTTCATTCTTAGTTGTGGGGGTGTTATGACCACGGTCATAAGGAACATTATTTCTTTTATTTTTATACTGTTTGTATTCTAGTGTTGTTTTGAGTGTGCAGGTGCCCTCCTAGGATTGGTGGATGATGGCCAGGGGACGTTTGAATTGGAAGATCAGCTGGGGCAAAGCTGTTAAAAGGAGCCTGATGAGATGCAGTTGTGTTCTTCATTCTCCACTCATTCCAATCAACCACCACTTGATGCTCTGTGTTTTTGTGATGCCTTTGTGCTTTTGTGACTAGTACCTGCCATTCGAGGATTCTGTAGGGGTGAACCGCCTTTTTTCTTTGCATTCCTGTTTTCTTCTGTTTTGGATAGTCAGGGAGGTAAGTTTGCAGGTCAGTTGTCATTCTGAAGTTAGATGTGTTTTGTTTATTGTTCTAGGCATTGGTTCACCCTGAGTTATTAATCCTCCCTCGTCCTTAGTTCATTACCTTGATCTTGTGAATAAATTATTGTACTCGGAATTCTAGTGTGGTGGTTTGGAATTGGTGGAAGATGGAACCATTTTGATGTTACAGCCTGGCCATCCTAGACGGGTTGTAACAGCTGTGACCAGGGAGCTGTGTGCGAGGATGGGGGATGTTCTTGATGCTATGGTTATGTTTAGTGGGCTTTTGAAGGTGGTATGTTGGACGAAGGCCCAGTGCCTCAAAGTGCTGAAACTTGAGGTGTTTATGGGGGTGGGCAGGACTGTTACTGAATTGTGTTCTGGTGCTTTGGATAAGGAGGTGGTATACGATGTATCAAACAATTTTTCTGAGCCTGATGTGTTTGACTTCCTGAGCGGGCCGGCAGTGGTGCCTATTCAGCATCTGGGGTTTGACGCCCATGGATACACTTCACTGTTAACTTTTGACACGGTGGAGCTCCCTGCTGGTGTCATGTTGGGCTTGCTCAACTACTCAGTTAGGGCATTTGAGGAACCTCCTTTTGTGTGCTTTAGGTGTCAGGGCTTTGGGCATGTGGCTGTGTGTACCCCAAAGAAACCCATTGTTGGTGTGTGTGTGTGTGTGTGTGTGTGTGTGTGTGTGTGTGCGTGTGTACTTTCTTTGACATTGAATGTGGTACCATTAGTTTATCCGTTTAATTAAAGATTCACTAGGATAAATACAATAAAGTTTATCTCTCACCAAATAAAATATTTACTAAGGAATCACAATGTAACCATCGAAACACTACTTGGTATTTATGGTGTGTGTGTGTGTGTGTGTGTGTGTGTGTGTGTGTGTGTGTGTGTGTGTGTGTGTGCGTGTGTGTGTGTGTGTGTGTGTGTGTGTGTGTGTTTATATTCTCACAGAAGAAGAACCCAACACCAGCAGACTCAGTGCTCCAATCCAACAGCCTGAAGAGACATCATCATCAGCTTCAACAGATGTCTGTGAACATGTATGAGCTGCTGGCCCCATGGATCCTGCTGACTGGTCACAGCAGTTGAACAAAATGGAAAGTAGAACTTTCTTTATGATGACACTTTGATGTTTGAGTTTTGCTTTTGATTGCACAGTTGTTGATTTTGCATCCCCCCCAATGACATTTGCACAACATTTTGAGTTGTTGGCTATTGTAATATTCTCAGGTTACTTATCTTTCAAGCTTACATTTATTCTTCAGGCTGTTGACTTTAAAGAGTTGCTGTGTGAATATTTAAAATAAAAAATTAGTAACTAAGGAGTAACTGTGGAGTTGCTTTTTCCAATGTGTGGACTTGGGTTTGGGTGAGAGGCGGGGCAGGGGGCAAATGGGCACTCTCGCCTTGGGCACCAAATTACCCAGAGCCGGCCCTGGCCCTGGACATAGTAACGCACAACCTTCCATCCCCAGTAACGGTAATGGCGTTGCAACAGTGGGAAACGTAATTTATTTGATTATTCCATTACGTATAAAAGAACGCCGTTAGAAACGCCGTTATACTTAAACGGAGTTACTCCCAACACTGGTCCTGACAGCGGAGGTCTGCAGCCAGGTGCTTTTGGAGAGAGGAACAAAAAACATTACGACAAATATTTTGTCTGAAAAACCACCAGCGGAAGTCATGTATGAGAGCCAGGTGTGTTTTATTCTGCTCCAGCAGGTGGCGGTAGTGCACATTTACGCGGGTCATTGACCACCGGAAGAAGCAGAAACCGGAAGCTGCTAGCAGAGCTAGCTTGTTGTTCTGGTGTGTGAGGAGAATATTTGAGGCTCTGCAGTAAAAATGTCTTCACTTCAGTCTCTGGGAGAGTTGATCAGCTAAAGCGACTAACTGCTGCTGCTGCAGAAATCTTCTCACCAGGCTGTGGAAACTTTCTTCTCCTCCTCAACAACTTGGTGGAGTTCTTTCCAGAACCAGAGAAGATATTCTGCGGTCTTCGTGACAATCGGAGCTCCAGAATCAGGTTGTGGGTGAGAAAAGCTTTTCTCTAGACTTCCTGCCCTCTGGATCTGCTGCTGTTCCTTTGGCCAGAACCAAAGCGTTGGATCTTTAATCTCCTGCGTTGTTCTGAAGCAGCATCTTAATCAGCTCTCCTGCTTTGTTTCTATTGCAGCTGTTAGCTAAACACGGCTAAAGAAAACCTGCTACCACTTCAGGATCATCCATCAGCTGGGACTGATTCATCGTGTGTTCTTCACCACCTGGACCTGGACAGCATGGACACAGGTACTGGTGGATGAATGAATATATTGTCAGTCTATTGTAACCCTGGCGTCAGATGAAGTTACCACTTATTCAAAAAAAAATAATAAATAGGCCAGACTCTAGGTCCAACAGGATTACCTTACAAATTACCAGTGAGTGGGAAATGGAATAGCTGGATCCAAAGAATGAGCAAAAGAACACAGTTGCACCAGATTTGTAATTTTATATAGAAATATGAAAATAGAACAAAAAATACAGCAGCTGCAATAGACATATAATTAAACAATTAGGCCTTTCCCCCTATATCAGTAAACCTAGTCAGGTTGAGCTCAAAGTCAGTCTTCTATTTGGTCGTAGTCTAGTCAAAAAGAAAGTCTCCTCGGTCTTGTAAAACTCAGGTTCAGTGGTCTGAGTGGTTACCACTGGAATGTTGGCTCAGTATAGAAGAATGATGTTCTCCTGATCGGGATTCAGTTCAGTTCGGGCACAGGCTCGCCATCTCCATCCGGAGAGAATCCAGGACTCCAATCCACTTCAGTCTCGTACCGAGCATAAAAACCTAGCCTGCACAACAATAATGCAATTATTGTTTACAGCTAAATAAAATTCTCTTCTCTTATTCTCACAGCTATAGCTTTTACGATCTTTTCTTTCTTCATCCTTCAAATTACCATAGTAACAATTTACATGCATGTACATTTCTTTTCTCAAGATACATTTTGGCAATACATGAAACAGTTTTTAACTCATGTAACTAATAGTTTGAATCTTTTAGTAGAAGAAAGAAAGTAGCTGAGGGGGGTCAGAAATTTTGCCAGATTAAAGCCTGGTTTATGCTTCTCCGTCTGCGTCAGTTCGGAGACACGCAACGTCCTTGCTTAGGGCTCCGGCAGGCACGCAAGTACGTACGGAGTCAAGCCCACTTTTTTAAACATCCGTCAAACGAGACGGATTACGCAAGCTTGTGATTGGTCAGGACGCCGCTGTTGTTTACAGCGCCGTCATTGCAAAGAGAGCCGAGTTTAACTAGCGGCAGACACGGAGAAGCTTGAAGAATACCTCGCGAAAAAACTCTAAAAATATGAGCGTTTAATTCTCCCGTGACTGGAGGAGTGAAAAGATGCGCAGCAAGCGTTTTATTTGTGGACGGAAATGACAGGAAACGTGGGTTTAGAGTTGGGGAGCGCATGAAGCGGTGGGAGAATGAGAGACAAATATGTCCGTGTTAAAAGTCTCTTATATACACAAAAAACACAATATAAACACACTATCTTGGACCGATACATGACAGGATACCACAGAGCAGCGCTACGCCCTCTGTTGTCCTGCAGGGCAATTGCTTTGCAACACTCTCCAGGAGACGGAGAAGTATGAGAGCAAAACGCTTCCGTCAATCCGTGCGTGTCTGTCCCTTGCGGAGCTGACGGAGAAGCGTAAACCAGGCTTTAGTCGCTAGGCGCTATTTTGAAGAAAAAAAAAATTCGTTAAGGGGGTCTGAAAAGTTGTTGGAAATGGCGACAAAGTTGCTAACTTGGCAACACTGCAAGCTGTAAAAACGCACATGCTCATTGCTCGCTCCCGCGGTGCGCACAAACACAGTTCAATTTAATTCAATTTTATTTATATAGCGCCAAATCACAACAAGTCATCTCAAGGCACTTCACATAATAAACATTCCAATTCAGGTCAGTTCATTAAGCCAATCAGAAAAAAATGTTTCCTATATAAGGAACCCAGCAAATTGCATCATTTACAGCAATCCTCATACTAAGCAAGCATATAGCGGCAGTGGAGAGGAAAACTCCCTTTTAACAGGAAGAAACCTCCAGAGTATAAGTATAAGCAGAAGAAAACGGAGCAGACACACACGCACGCACACACACACACACACACACACAAAGCAATGTGTCTATGGTTACATTGTGATTGCTTAGTAAATATTCTATTTGGCGAGAGATAAACTTTATTGTATTTATCCTAGTGGATCTATGATTAAAGGTGTTCCCTGGCCAGGCAAGAGACGTAGTCCCTCCCTGGGTCTCCTACCGGTTGGACGTGCCTGGAAAACCTCACCAGGGAGGCGTCCAGAAGGCATTTTAATAAGATGCCTGTCAAGATGGCACCGTCCACGGCCTGCCGTCTGCTCTTCCGACTGTTGTTTTTGCTTTTTATTTTCCTGTGTTGCTCTTTGGTGGGTAGTAGCTCAAATTTTCGCTATGATCGCCTCACCCTTCTTGAACTTCGGCATAAACTTGGATTTGCCTATCACCTCTGTTTGGATCTAAGATGGTCCTTCGCCCCGCTGTTTACGGCGGTCCCAGCTCTGCTGCTTCGCTCTCCCCGCCTGGCGTGGCTACCAAGGAAACGCCGCAGACGTGGCAAACGCGGGGGTTCCAAAGTGCGGCTCAGAGCCTCCTCCGGCCGTTCGTGCATGGGACGTAAACCTCACCTGTCACCAGAGTTGATACATGGAGATCTTCGGACCTTCCGCATTCCATCGCTCTGTCGAAGATTCTTTGGGGAATCCGGAATGCCTCAACCACCAACCCATGGATGCACCGGGGCGTCAACCAAGCTAACCTTTGCTATCCTACGGTGGCCCAAGCGGCCCAGTCACCCCGGTCAGCTGATTAGGGTCTTCCACCGATCTTCAGGGTAGCTCTCCTAAACGCCCAGTCAATTGGGAATAAAACCCTCATTTTAAGGTATTATTTTTTCCAGCATGAGGTGACATTGTTCTGCATGAACGAGACCTGGGTTCTTCCTGGTGAGTCAGCTGCTCTGTCAGAGCTCTGTTCTTCAGACTGTCAGGTTCTGAACGAGCCCAGGCTCACTGGTCGTGGTGGTGGATTACTAACCATGTTCAGATCCTCTTTCCATCCTAAAAAACTTACTACACCAGTGACTCCAGCCAGCTTTGAGTTTATGGCTTTTGAGGTGGACTTTAGTCCTCCACTGCTGTTTATTCTCTGCTATCGCCCACCTAAGTACAATTCAAACTTTTTATCGGAATTTTCTGATCTTTCAACAGACTTTCATCCAAAATATGACCGTGGGATTATTCTTGGTGATTTTAATATACATGTTTGCTGCCCTGACAAACCTCTTGTTGGTGGCTTTTTAGAAATTTTAGATTGTTTTGGTCTCCAGCAACAGGTCCAGTCACCCACCCATTCAGGATCGCACATTTTAGACTTGGTTTTGTCATTTGGGATCTGTATCTCTGAACTGATTGTTGACTCTGCATGTATCTCTGATCATTCTCCTCTTATTTTTAATATCTGTGGCTTGACACCTCCATCCACTAGGCAACATAATCAACACCTTACAAGAATAATTTCCCCTTTCACCACCAATCTATTAGCATCTAGCCTAGCTGCGACTCTATCCACTTCCCAACCTGATTCCACCTGTGTAGGAGCTGAGGAGCTGCTGACCTCTTTCAACTCTACCTGCTCAACTGTTTTAAATGCAGTCGCTCCTCTAAAATCCAGGCATAAAAAAAACTGTTCCTCCAGCAGTCTAAGCCTATAGCAGCATAACTACAGAGATAACTCTGGATAACCTAGCCTTTTTAGATGGAGGCATGTTGGAGGCAGAGCAAGGGAGAGCCGTCTTTACCGACTGTACACTCCACCTCCCTCTACTCCCCCACTTGTCCAGATCCAGGCTAACATCTGATTTTAACCATAGGCCCTATCAAATAAAAATGTTTTAAGCCTATTCTTAAAAGTAGACAAGGTGTCTGCCTCACGGACTAAGGCTGGGAGCTGGTTCCACAGGAGAGGAGCCTGATAACTAAAAGATCTGCTCCCCATCCTAATTTTAGATATTCTGGGCAAGGGCGTAGGAACCGGGGGGGACGGGTAGGACATGTCCCCTCCAATATTGGACAAACGCGCATTTGTCTCCCCCAATAACATGGAGAAGAAAAAAATTGATTTTGAAATATTTGATTCACGAGATTTTATTTTGAAAGACACTACAGACTTCTCACTGACACAGCCCCTCCCCTCAGGCAGTTAGACAGGCTGGCTGAGTGAAGCGGGAGTCAGAGCCGGGATGACAGCAGCTCTGCGAGTTCTTCTCATGGGCAAAAAAAGAAAGAAAGGAAATGTGAGTTGGTAATAATTTAGTCCAAGAGGATAATTGTATTTCTGGTCAAACGCTAGACTGGCTGACTAACGTAAACATCTTGCTAGGCAGCATTAAACATTAAACAACTCTGCTAGTCAACAAAAAATGGTGAACTTGACACGATTTGACAGTAACAAACAAAAACCATTTGAAACGAAATAAATAAAAAAGTAGAATCTCCACATAAAAATGGAATTTGTAAGTGTGATTGTTGCTTGTTTGTGACATTCTCATCACATTTCATTTTTTAAACCTTATTCATGTCACTCTTTTCATATAAGAGACCAGAGGAAGTTCAGCAGGAAAATGATGAAGAAGGTGAGACAGGCAGCACCAGACCTGCTGAGGGTGAGACCCTCAGCAGGTCTGGTGCTCCCTGTCTCACCCTCAGCAGGTCTGGTGCTCCCTGTCTCACCCTCAGCAGGTCTGGTGCTCCCTGTCTCACCCTCAGCAGGTCTGGTGCTCCTTGTCTCACCCTCAGCAGGTCTGGTGCTCCCTGTCTCACCCTCAGCAGGTCTGGTGCTGCCTGTCTCACCTTCTTCATCATTTTCCTGCTGAACTTCCTCTGGTCTCTTATATGAAAAGAGTGACATGAATAAGGTTTAAAAAATGAAATGTGATGAGAATGTCACAAACAAGCAACAATCACACTTACAAATTCCATTTTCATGTGGAGATTCTACTTTTTTATTTATTTCGTGTCAAATGGTTTTTGTCTGTTACTGTCAAATCGTGTCAAGTTCACCATTTTTTGTTGACTAGCAGTGTTGTTTAATGTTTAATGCTGCCTAGCAAGATGTTTACGTTAGTCAGCCAGTCTAGCGTTTGACCAGAAATACAATTATCCTCTTGGACTAAATTATTACCAACTCACATTTCCTTTCTTTCTTTTTTTGCCCATGACAGGGGTGGACATTAACTTCAAAACCAACCGGCCAGCCGGGCCGGTAACTCTGAATATTTACCGACCCCGCCAAGAAACTACCGGCCCCGCTGGTCAGCCGCCAAAACGAGTCTAAATAACAACTGAACCGTTTTAAATGTAATAAACCTTTATTTTGTACACATTCACAAACATAATAACGTATTCAAGTTTGAATTTGTTTGTTCCCTCAACAAAACACTATTTTGTCGTCGCATACTTCCGGCATACAACGCAGTACATCACCAACTCCGCTTTGCTGTACTCGAGCCATCGGCTGTGTTCGAGATTAGCCAGTTCTGCGCAGATTAGACCAGCAGTGATCAGCGAGCAGTGCATGCCGGTTAGATTTGTGTCCGAATTGACGCCGACTTGCTCTGACGTCATGCATACGTAGGCAACGATAACCTCGTGAGATCAAGGCGGCCGCAGATTTTGGAGCAAGGCGCTGCAGTTGCTCTCCCTTGGCTGCAAAACCTAGAGGATGACGGGAAACGCCTGGCTCTCACCTGATCTAAGATCTGATTGGTTCATATTTTGATCCAAACATCCGGTGGTAGAACATGAAATGTTAGTTGGTCACATGTATTCTGTAAATCATGTTACGTTGATGATAACAACAATATAGGCCATAAAGAGAAATGTGTTTTGTTTTCTTTTGTCACGTTTCCTATGAGCACACTGAACCTACAGCTGTTAACCTTTACTTATTATTACACTCATGTCTCCATATACAATATATGATATCCACAAGCACCTGAGGATGTGTTTCAGCTGCTAACAGGCACCAGAATTAAAATTGAAAATTGAACAAGTGTGAATGCTAACGCGATATCTTCAGCCATCGTCACCCCGAGCTACACATGCAGGGAAATCCAAGAGATTCAACTGGCAGAAACAACTGGTTCACACCATAGTCTCTCTCTCTCTCACTCACTCACTCTCTCACTCTCTCACACACACACACACGTAGAGGAAAAGAGCTGAGGAAATTGAGGACACCAGGTAGTTAAAAGAAAAACCACAGCGGAGCCGAGGCGCGCCTCGAATGGGGCGCGTCTGATCTGAACTGAGGAGCAGCGAGCAGCGGCCGGACTTCGTGAGCGATTCGCTTCGGGCTTTTCCGCGGCCGGTGTGTCCCCGGTGAAACGCCGGCTTTCAGCCACTCCCCCCGCTGCTTCCGTCTTCTCTCGTCTGTTTTCCAGGCGAGGCGCTGCTCAACTCGAACACGGCCATTCTCTGCGCCTCCCGTCTTCTTTAAACCGCCAAGAATCATTCCACCTACGCACACGCTTCTCTGCTTCATACCGTTTCGAACTGTCTCGCTTCTCCTCACCAGTTTTAAAGTGTTTTGCCGGAGATTTCATCAAGAAATCCCATCCCTGTGGTGGCGCGATCTTCCTGCGTGCTTGTGTGTTTCTAGCGTGGTTCCACTTCGTCTTTAATAGTGAACTTATAGTTCACGTGACTATAACTAATCGTGCAGTACGTGCACGAATCGTACAAGTGCAGTAGGTGGCTAGAGGCGCGCAGGTTCACGCGCGCGAAACGAAAACGGCAGCTTCCTACAGGGCGGGGCCATGATGTAGGCGAAAGCCGGTGTGTAAATGACAAATAAAGCTTGGGCGCCACCCGGGCGGTAAGTCGTCAAGTATTTACCGCCCGACGAGAAAATTTAGCGCCATTGGCGCTCGGGCACTTTAACGGTCCACCCCTGCATGAGAAGAACTCGCAGAGCTGCTGTTGTCCCGGCTCTGACTCCCGCTTCACTCAGCCAGCCTGTCTAACTGCCTGAGGGGAGGGGCTTTGTCAGTGAGAAGTCTGCAGTGCCAGAGAGAGCCAGACCTGCTGAGGGTGAGACAGGCAGAGCCAGACCTGCTGAGCTGCAGGCAGGTGCTACAATGAAGAGTGAGGTTTTAGATGGTTGATGATGAGAGGAAGATTCGATAACAAGTGAACACGACTAAATAAAACTGTAACAACCATGATTTTAACGTTGCACTAGGAAAACGACCGGTTCGGCTGGCTCCGGTGAAGTGGAGACGGTCATACTGGGAAGTTTCGGTAATGGAAACACACCAGTTAGTGCCTGGCTGGTTTATAAAAGACACCCGTTCCTCCTTTTGGTGTGAGGATGCCAGCTGGTCCTGTTCCACTGCAGATAGCTCATCAGTACTTAATACAAGTTGTTTATTGTGTATCTACGTTGGTGTTAGTTTGGGATGTTCTGATCATACCAGCAACACCTGTGTGAACCCTGTGTGCAGCACTTGGGGTTCTTCCCCTTTTCCTTCATGCTGTGCAGGACAGCAGCAACAATGTAAAACAACATGTCCGCCTAACTTTAACTCCGTCTGCGAGAGTGATGTAAGCTTTGAGTCCTGCAATGAAAAGCTTCAGCTCCTGGGGAAGCTGATTACAGCTGGTTTAATACGACGTAAAGAACAAAGTCTGGGTGGAGTGAGGTGAGTTTCCAGGGATCGGTGCAGAGATCAACACCTCCCAGTCAGACGCAGCTACGCTCACCAACACCCGTCTGTATGAGCGTCAGAAGGCTCAGCTAATAACCGGACCATAAGGAAGTTCATGATGCTGGAAGAGCAGCCTTTCTCTGTGGTGGAAGAAGAACCAAGTTTATTCATACAGCACGTGTCCCAGACCGAGGTCACGAAAGGAATCACAATAAAACGCTGAAAAATAATACAATGAGTAGAAAACAACAGGCTCCGCCCACTGCTCAGTCACTAAGTAACCCACTACTAATAATAATAATAACAATAAATCTCCCAAAATGCTAATTAGTAAGATTCCTTTGCTTTGTAGTGCTCTAGCCTGCTGAGAGCTTAAAAGTGAAAGATTGTTACTGACAGCAGCTACATCTAAGTGTTTATTCATTTTCCTTTTGACTGAATAGTTGCTGATTTTATCTTGGAGACGTTTCTCCTCACATCAGCTTCAGATCTAAAGCTTGGGTTGTGAGTAGGAGGCTTAGAAGTTCTGGTCAGAAACAAACACGCTGATTGTGATGGAAGTTTTTATTGTTCCTAAAGTAGAAATCAGTTTTTATCTAAATGAAGTTCATGTTCTTGTTCCTTTTTCCCACATCATGTAGCCAGTATCACTCATGGTGTACATATAAAGGTATGGTGGTCTGTAACATCATGTGTCTGTGTTTCCTACAGATGTTCCACAGCTGGTGCTGGTTAAAGAAGAAGCTCCTGAAGAACAGAGTGCTGGTGTGGACCAGCAGGACCCAGAACACCTCCACATAAAGGAGGAACAGGAGGAGCTCTGGACCAGTCTGGAGGGAGAGCATCTCTGTTTGAAGGAGGAGACTGAAGCTGTCGGGTTTCCTGTTACTGCTGTTTCTATAAAGAGTGAGGATGATGAAGAGAAACCTCTGGTCTCACAGCTTCATCAGCAGCAAATAGAAGACAGAGATGTTCCAACCAGCAGCTCAGCTGACCAGATGGCAGCAGAAACTGGTGGAGGAGCAGGAACTAGCAGGAACCCAGATCTGAACCCTCATGAACAAACATCTGATTCTTCAGAGACTGAAGTTAGTGGAGATGATGATGATGATGATGATGATGATGGTGTGAATCAGGACTCTGAGCTGTCAGACTCTGGGTCTGAAACTGGAGATGAAGATGATGACTGGAATGAGAGCAGGTCTTCTGAGTCAGATGGTAAGTCTGTCAACAAGTTCTTCACAAGTGGTCTCTCCAGAGACACGTGAGGGAGACAAGTCATCCAGCAATAAGGTCTTCAGGCTGTTTGGTTCATAAGAAATGTGTTAGAGTGAAGCAACATGTAGACTCGTGCAGGAAAGTCCAGAAGAAACCTAAATCATTTAGTCATGATGAGTGTGGAGAAAGGTTTACTACAAATGTAAATAAACAAATCACATGAGAGTCCACACATAGCAGCTGCTGTTCCAGAGTATGGGCCAGCCTCATCCCACCCATACTCTGCTTCTGGCCGCTAACAAGATGGCGCCTGTGTTTGGAATAGCCACAGGTCCGTTTCCACATTCCCGCCTGGCCACGGGGCAGCGCTGTGTCTCCGTCCATGTTTCCTCGGGTCTGTTTATCCTGGTTCTTCAGTGGTTTCCCTTCCTGTTCCCTCCATGAGTGGACTTTACACACCGTGGATCTGACCTGCTAACTCCAGCTGTTTCTGCTTCTGGCAGGATCCTGGTGTAGGTACCCAGGAGTCCAGATGCTGCAGGATGAAGTGTAGAGCCATGCTGATGGTGTAACGTGATGGAAGTGGTTACTTTTACTGAATGATCAATAAGATGTGATATTCCATCTAATTATAAATGATCAATCTTATTGGTCTTTGAATATTTGATTTAATACGACCTTAGGAACACACACTTCATATTAATTCAGACAGAGTCAAGAATATAGTTTATAAAAATTAGTTTAATTCTATATTTCTAAACTAATGATTACATGACTGTTAGGGATTTTATCAATAACCCAATACCTGCAGCTGGAGAGAGAGGAGAGACAACAAGCAGACAAGTCACCAAACTGCAATCAGGGGCAGAAGCTCAAGGCAACGGCCCCGAGTTTCTGCTCTCAGAGTTCATTTATAACAAAGATAAGTGTGTGTTTGTGTGTGTGTGTGTGTGTGTGTGTGTGTGTGTGTGTGTGTGTGTGTGTGTGTGTGTGTGTGTGTGTGTGTGTGTGTGTGTGTGTGTGTGCTTTCAGGCATAGAATAATACATTCAGTTAATAATAAACATAACATTTCCATAACATAATCCCTCCTGTTTATCCGAATAGGATAACCAAACAAAAAAAAAAAGTAAAATAATACAGAACAAATAAATAAAACACGATGAGACAAACACAACTGACAATAACAAACAGCAGCTTACAGAGACACAAGTGAGATAATGGAAATCAGTGAAATCAACACCATCATAAACTAAAGAAGAGCTATTTCATACATGTTGATGTGAATTTACTGTGATGCAACAATTCTACAATTTAGAGCAGTTCCTGTAAAGAGATTGGGAAGGATTAGCAAGACCATATAATACACAGAAAACATCAGTAGAGTTTATTGAAACATCAGATGAATTTAAAGCTACAGGTCGCACACGGCTGTTTCTGTGAATGAGGAACAGGTAGTATCAATTCATGCAGCTCTAACTATGGCAGAAGCTGAGGCAAACCAGGCGTTCTTCATCAAAGGGCTTGTCCGTAGACTGAGAGTCCCGGTTGAAGAAGGGTTTGGAACGGTTAGAGTCCTCGTCCGTTGATCAGGATGGTTTCAGTCTTAAGTTGATGAGTTCCTTGAAGTCCAGGTCTGGAATGCAAGAATGGAGTTTGGGATGTGAGAGCGCACAGTTCAACTTCTCAGTAGGGAGACGTCTGGGTCCTTCCATGGCGTGTTGAGGTGGTTGTGCACCTGTCAGGGAGCTGATCTTGTCCCCGAAAGTCCTTCTGATCCTTTGACCGTGAAACCTGGTTGGAGATTGGGTGCAGGTGATTGAAGTAGTTCTCCTTTTCCAGCGTCTCTTCTTCGCTGTGTCCTGTCATAGTTGCGTCCAGGGGGTCTTCAGCCGAGGTGGACGCAGGTTACGTTGTCATGTAATAATAATGTTAATGATAATAAATCTCACAACACAAAGTTGTGATATATATATCATTTAGGGCTGCACAACATATCGAAAAATTATCGTCATCGGGATAACAGGAAGTGCGATAGGCCCATCGCAAAGCACGTCAAACACAGCGATAAATGTTTGGTTCAACATTTCCATCCGTGTCATACATCAACTTTTTGTAAACCAGCTGTTTTTTACGCGGAAGTATTATTTGACCAATCAAATGTAGCCCTTCTGATATGCGGCCAATCAGATGGGTCCTTTCACGTAATACGCCCGCCCCCTACATAGACCTTTAGGATGGAAAGCAACACCCGAACAGAGTTAGCAGCGCCGTTCCCTTGTTCGTCATGCTGGCTCAGAGCAATGAACGCACTTTGTGCTGAGGTTTCTGGAATCAGCGCTGCTTTCAAACGTGAACGTGAGTCCGCTCGGTGTCGTTAAGCAGCTCATAATATTTGGAGCTTCAGAAAAAGTTTTATGGTGGTGGTGATGCATGCAGTGTGTTGTTTTGCTGCTAATACAGTAGCAGGTGCAGCTGCATATTCTTTCAATAAAAATGTTACGTTGTAATGGAATTCATGCATTAGTTTTTGTTTGCTTTGAACCCAAAGCAGACGTCACACGACATTAACACTGCATTAGTATTTGTTCATTTATCGCAAGTAATATCGATATTGCAATATTAAGCACTGTTATCGAATATCGCAAGTTTTCCTATCGTGCAGCCCTAATATCTATATTTTTTGCTTTCCTGAAGTATCTAGAGCGTTTAGAACTTTTAATAATTTAAATCTGTTAGATTGTGACTGATAGCAGCTACATTTAAGTGTTTCAGTTTTCCTTTTGACTTTTGTGATGCGTCGTGCTTCAGCATGTAGGTGTAGATTCTCAGTCATCCTGGACACCATCAACCTAAGAGATTTAAGGAAAACATCTGGACGATTCTGGTTATTAACTCTCATCCAAGAGACGTTTTCAGCCCTAAACCTTGGGTTGTGAGCAGGCTTAGAAGTTGTGGTCAAAAACACTAATTGTTCTGCAAGTCTTTTTTTTTTTCTTTAAAATAAAATTGTCTAAATTAATACAGGAGTAAACATAGCCAGTATTATTAGTAACATAAATACTATTTCTGGTAAGAAATGGCCCCCAGTATGCCACAGCCTTTCTCAAACCCCAGTAAAACAAACCCCAGTGAATGGATCTGGGCACCAGAAGATTGAAGGACGCTGGAGGAGAAACACGTGATGAGATAATTTCATAACATTTCTGCTGCATTAAAGAGTCAGATCAGCTATTTGCCCTTTGCAGTGGTTAATTAAAGTGTTCAAGTGTAACGTGATGAAGGAGCCATTTCTATCCTCTAACAACTGTTCCCTTTTGACACAGTGCCAGAGTGCATGAAACAGCCTCAAGGTCATGCATTCGCTTCTAAACTGTTTACGTTCCAGCAATGAAGAACGAAGAATGAACTCTTTTCTTTTAATTAATCAAAGAACTCTATTTTAATAAAGCTATTCCATCAAAGTGTTAGTCAATTTAATAAGATGTGACCGACCTGTGAAATTAAAATTTTACTTTATTAGGATCCCATAGAAATAATAAGTACTGTGACTTAAGGATTCCAACAGGACTCATTTCACGTACTGTTAAAAAGACAACACATTGTTGTCACTGATCCAATCAGAATCTTACAGATCTGACGAGGGCGTGCTTCTGACGGTGATTGGCTATTTTTATTCGACAATAAACCATAACAACCGAGGTATAAAACTACGCCACGTCAGCTCTAACGCCAGTTCAAGCGTTCCAGAGCAAACGACGGAACCATCTTAAAATGATGAAAATAAACTTTATTTGGAACTCCTGGACTCTGCGCCTACAGGTGGGATGCTCCAACAGGCCTGTAGGGGCGATGACAAAACACAAAGTGAGAGGATTTAATCCACTATCTCAAATAATAATATCCACTTAGGGAAAGAAAACTGTCTTTTTTCAACAATTATCGGAAAGTATATTTAACCCTATTTGGGAGTAAAATCACTAAAGCCGGGCGTACACTGTGCGACTTTTTCACTTTTTTGAGCCGATTTTCCAGTCGTGTGAGATTCCACGACATCGGGGCGAGTTTTGCGCCGAGCGGTCGTGTAGTGTACAGGGGGTTACGAGAGGCGATTAACACCATGTGACCAGCTGCCGATCAGCAGTCGTGAGGTCGCACGGACTTCTGGCGTGTTTGATATTTCGCTCGTCCCTCGTGAGGGTATCGCACTGTTGAAGCGGAGCTGCGAGCAGCTGCGACCAGCAGCGACCCAAAATGTATCAGAACCGCTCACGGCGCATGCGCAATCCTGCATCAACACCGCTCACCCGCTATTTCCCTAATAACACACGCTGTTCGTTTTTGTTTCTACACGTTTTTTTTACTCACAAAGATTGTCAAGAAAGCGTGTTTGTCGTGTTCATGTCAAATTAAACTGATCACAAAACACAGATTTATACATAAAACCCTGCGTGTCCTCTTGCAGCACTCCCGAACGACAACAGGCAAAACAAGACAAAAAAAGTCTGACGTGTTGAGTAAAAACGGCTATTTTTAGCATATTTTTAGGGCCGACGTGTTGCTACCAGACGTACAGTGTGAGCAGTCAGGTCACATCCGAGAACTGGGTCGTGCAGTGTGAGCACATGACTCGTGAGATCTGCCCTGCGAGGAAGTCGTACAGTTTGAGTTGAAGCTGAGTGCTACGAGTGAAAAAGTCGCACAGTGTCCGCCCGGCTTAAGATGGTTTGATAACACACAAAGGGCGTTGCAGCCTGAATCTCTAAGGCCCTACTCCCAACCAAAGCCAGTGAACTAAAATACAAAAAGTGAGTGGGCACTCAACAAGTATTAATTTATCATTAATACAAAGGCTCTAGGACCAACAAAGGAAGTCGACAAATGAGTAAAACGCAATCAAAGGGGTCTAAGGAGGAATATTCAAGAGTATTAACCCTCAAGGAGACTACGGAGGATTATTTACAAAAGGAGCTTTAAACCAAAATGTGACTGGTGGAGGGACGTTAGTGATGACAGTCTATTAATGAACTTCTTGATAAAATAAGCTTAGTGGTACTCATCACTCGCTCTGATTCCAGCCAATAGGGTGTAGAACCCAACCACTTGGAGAATGCTCTGGATGTCAGCTCAGGGATCCTAGGAAACTCGTTCCAACCAGGAAAGCAGCGGCTCTTCCCTCTCAGAGTCCTCTCAGGCCCTGTCCACACGTAGCCGGGGATCTGCCACAACGTAGATATTTTTCTACGTTTTGGCCTGTCATCCACACGAAAACGGAGTTTTTTCACACGAAAACTGATCTTTTTAAAAACTCCGGCCAAAGTGAAGATCTGCGTTTTCTCCGTTTTGGGTGTCTGCGTGTGGACAGACAAAACCGGAGTTTTAAGGTCCGCAACGTCACTTTCCGCGACAAAAAATACTGACATCACGTGTGCGACCTGTGTTTACACTGGCCGACAGCATGGATGCCCTCAGAGCTGCGCTCGCTTTATCAATTGTCCAAGCGCTTTTTGCTTGTTTGTTTTTGCAAGCAGAATTACTGCTCCTTGCGGAAGACCACAGACGAAGGACGAGGTTAAGAACGGGGGAAGTACTGCCGTCTACAGGTCTGGAATGTCCTTAACAACGTATTTATCCGGGTACGTGTGGACAGAGTTTTCTTTTAAAACGAGGTGGTGTGGATGCAAGTTTTTGGAGGGGCGGATATTCGTTTAAAAAAAAAGGCTACGTGTTGACTAGGCCTCAGTCTGGTCTCAGTCACAGCTCTCCAGCTCAGCAGTTCAGCCGCAACCGATTCCTCAATATGCCAGCTCCTCTCTCCAGCTCCTTCTTTACTCAGCTTCAAAACCTCTCGATTCACTGCGCTTCTCTCTCCAGCTCCTCTCAGTCTGGCTTTTCAACTGTTTGTGCAGACCTCTTAATCAGCTGATGTGCACCAGCTGCCCTGTGGGGAGCAGCAGCAGGCCAAAGGGTTCCAGATAATGGCTCCCTCTGGTGGGGGAATTTAGCTGAATCATGGGGTTCACCTCACAGGATGAACAGAGGGCGATAAACTCATCAGCCCAAATACAGGGG